TGTGTAGAAGAGAGGGAGACTACTTCCCGGTAAAAGTAGGTCTTGGATAGGGATGTGTAATGTCACCATAGTTGTTTAATATACAGTATTTATAGATGGGGTTGTAAAAGAAGTAAATGCTAGGGTGTTCAGGAGAGGGGTGGGATTAAATTATGGGGAATCAAATACAAAATGGGAAGTGACACAGTTACGTTTTGCTGATGATACTGTGCTTATGGGTGATTCTAAAGAAAAATTGCTAAGGTTAGTGGACGAATTTGGGAATGTGTGTAAAGGTAGAAAGTTGAAAGTGAACATAGAAAAGAGTAAGGTGATGAGAGTATCAAATGATTTAGATAAAGAAAAAATCGATATCAAATTGGGGAGGAGGAGTATGGAAGAAGTGAATGTTTTCAGATATTTGGGTGTTGACGTGTCAGTGGATGGATTTATAAAGGATGAGGTTAATCATAGAACTGATGAAGGAAAAAAGGTGAGTGGTGCATTGAGGTATATGTGGAGGCAAAAAATGTTATCTATGGAGGCAAAGAAGGGAATGTATGAGAGTATAGTAGTACCAACACACTTATATGGGTGTGAAGCTTGGGTTGTAAATGCTGCAGCAAGGAGGCGGTTGGAGGCAATGGAGATGTCCTGTCTAAGAGCAATGTGTGGTGTAAATATTATGCAGAAAATTCGGAGTGTGGAAATTAGGAGAAGGTGTGGAGTTAATAAAAGTATTAGTCAGAGGGCTGAAGAGGGTTTGTTGAGGTGGTTTGGTCATTTAGAGAGAATGGATGAAAGTAGAATGACATGGAGAGCATATAAATCTATAGGGGAAGGAAGGCGGGGTAGGGGTCGTCCTCGAAAAGGTTGGAGGGAGGGGGTAAAGGAGGTGTTGTGGGCGAGGGGTTTGGATTTCCAGCAAGTGTGCGTGAGCGTGTTAGATAGGAGTGAATGAAGACAAATGGTATTTGGGACTTGACGATCTGTTGGAGTGTGAGCAGGGTAATATTTAGTGAAGGGATTCAGGGAAACTGGTTATTTTATATAACCGGTCTTGAGTCCTGGAAATGGGAAGTACAATACGTGCACTCTAAAGGAGGGGTTTGGGATATTGGCAGTTTGGAGAGATATATTGTGTATTTTTATACGTATATACTTCTAAACTGTTGTATTCTGGGCACCTCTGCAAAAACAGTGATTATGTGTGAGTGAGGTGAAAGAGTTGAATGATGATGAAAGTATTTTCTTTTTGGGGATTTTCTTTCTCTTTGTGTCGCCCTGCCTCGGTGGGAGACGGCCGACATGAAGTTAGCGGTCTCGGAGACATATATGCATCGACGATTTCACCGACTTTGAGCCCTGTTTTTGGCCAATTCCGTTGTTCCAGTTGACCAAACTCATAGCTATTTCTTTAGAACTCCATTTTTTCTATCAGTTGAGTACAAGAAACTGCCCATTTACCAATATGAACTACGTTAGAATTTATGCGTATTAACCCTTTGACTGTTTCAGGCCCCTTTCTGAAACTGTCATTGTCGCTAAATTTTTGAAAAAAAAAAAAAAAAATTATTTTTTCTTATGAAATGATAGAGAAGCTTTTTCCGATGGTAATGACACCAAAAGTTCGAGATTTGGTCGAAAACTCATGGAATTACGCTCCCGTGAAATTAGCGGTGTCGGCGACATATGCGTATCGGCGATTTTGCCGACTTTGAGCCCTATTTTCAGCTGATTCCTTTGTTCCAGTTGACCAAACTCATAGCTATTTCTTTAGAACTCCATTTTATCTATCCGCTGAGTACAAGAAACCTCCCATTTACCAATTTGGACTACCCAATATTGTGGTAAGAAATTGGCAATTTGGCCAATTTCACGCAAACTAAAAAAGATGCCAATTTCAAAATAGGGTCCAGAATAAACAAGGTAGACATTCTTGGCACTAAAATAGCATATCCTCTGTTCATTAGTCACATCTCTAGGCCCCTCTTATGTTATTATTGCTTTCTATTTTGATTTTTTATTCATACAAAAAAATAAAAAAATTTACTGTTATGCAGACTACTGCATTATTGTAAAAATGGTATAAATAATATCAGTGCATTAGTGAAAGAATATTAGACTCCCCAGTTGACGTGTATTGGACGTGTGGTGTGATTTGTTTACTCCAGAACATTGGTAAAAATCGAACATTTTCGCTACTTTGAGCTCAGTTTCAAGGTCGTTTTCATCATCAAAGTAATGAAAATCATCTCTATTTCTGTAATATGTTTTCCATTTTATCACCTAAGACCATGAAAACGCAAATACATCGATAAATACTATACGAAAATACACCTCAAAGTCGGCGTTTTAATCCAAAATAACGATCAGTTTTTTTTTTCTCATTACGCACTGTGTGCTGCAGGATTTTTTTTTGTGTGGTGCACACTGACCACACAGACCCATTCTCTCACATGTGGGCCTACCAGCTTTCTTCCGCTTGATTTGAAGCCGCTAGAAATATTGAGTATATATACGTCTGAAACACTGGCTCGTAAGACGTATATATACGACCAAAACAGTCAAAGGGTTAATAAGTCCGAAACACTGGCTCGTAAGACGTATGTATATGACCAAAACAGTCAAGGGGTTAAAGTCTTGCACATATTTTTCAGCCGCCTTTTCGTCAGAACTGGCAGCCTCACCGTGCCTTATCACACTGTGTATGCCGCTACGATTCTTAAATCCCTCAAACCAACCTTTGCTGGCCTTGTATTCACTAACATCAGCACTAGTTTCAGGCATTTTCTTAATTAGATCATCATGCATTTTCCTTGCCTTTTCACATATTATTGACTGAGAAACACTGTCTCCTGATGATTGTTTCTCATTGATCCACACTAACAACAGTCTCTGCACATCTTCAAGTATTTGTGATCTCTGTTTTGTAAGTATACTTGCACCTTTCGCAACAACAGCTTCCTTGGTTGCTTTTTTGTTGGCCAAGATAGTAGTGATGGTTGAATGGGGTTTGTTATATAACTTGACCAACTTAGAGACATGCACTCCACTTTCGTACTTGGAGATTATCTCTTTCTTCAATTTGATAGTATTTCTCATCCTTTTTACCACACGGTTGGCAATAGAAGCTTTCTTTGGGCCCATGGTGGTTTATTTAGCAGTTACAAGCACTAAAAATAATGGAATAATACAAAATGTATCGAATGTGCTTGTGAAATCTTCTGCACTGGCTTGTAAACAATGGCACACTAGCTGTACTGGAAAGGATGGGCGGCTCAGGCCATGCGGACACGTTCGGGACGAATGTTCTTAACTGATGCAAAAACACTTCGCTATCAGATTTTGGCATTAGCTGATGCCGCCATTACCCGAGGGTCCACTGTACAGTGGTCCCTCGTTTTTCGTAATTAATCCGTTCCTGGAGGTGCTACTATTATCGAAATCTACGATTTTCGAATCAATTTTCCCCATAAGAAATAATGTAAATACAATTAATCCGTTCCTGACACCCAGAAGTATCAACAATTTTTTTTATGTAATAAAGTTGGTAGAATTACCGACAATATGTAAAGTTAAAGGACACAAGTGCAACTAATGTGACATTTTATTGTGGCAACGTTTCGCTCTCCAGGAGCTTTATCAAGCCATTACAAACAATACATGGACACAGAGGGTATGTAAAGGCTCAGAGTGAGGTGCAATACTAATGAGGTACCATTTCGATGTTCACTAGTGGTAGTTGTAGTAGTAGTAGTAGTGACAAAAGTAATACAATATGGTAGAGCAATTAGTGATCAAAGAAACTAATTTCCGCAGACGCAAGTGCCTCGAATCAGCACTGATCGCTGTTTCGAATACAATTAAACAAAACAACGGCAGCTTCACCATCTCCGAAGTCTTAGCAAGAATCCTCCTGAAAACAGTAAACCCTGCCATCACATAGTCTCTCCTGTTATACTACACAAAGCACATTACAGAGAGTGAACACTGAAACAAGCTGCCTCTTTCCAGTCTATATTTGTCCAACCTATTTTTATGTTACCCAAGTACAGTGGACCCCCGGTTAACGATATTTTTTCACTCCAGAAGTATGTTCAGGTGCCAGTACTGACCGAATTTGTTCCCATAAGAAATATTGTGAAGTAGATTAGTCCATTTCAGACCCCCAAACATACACGTACAAACGCACTTACATAAATACACTTACATAATTGGTCACATTCGGAGGTGATCGTTATGCGGGGGTCCACTGTAATAGCTTTTATATCCTTTCACTCATGTACGAATTAATTGCTCTACCATATTGTATTACTTTTGTCACTACTACTACTACTACCACTAGTGAACATCGAAATGGTACCTCACTAGTATTGCACCTCACTCTGAGCCTTTATATACCCTATGTGTCCATGTATTGTTTGTAATGGCTTGATAAAGCTCCTGGAGAGCGAAACGTTGCCACAATAAAATGTCACATTAGTTGCACTTGTGTCCTTTTATTTTTTTTACCTTAAAGATAGATTTACATGCACAAAAGAATGAACATTCAACATGACAGTTACCTTTATTGAAGGCTGTTGTTAAAAAAATATATTGTTACGTGCAGCTAATAAAAATAAATTGTTACATGCGGCCAATAAAAATAAATTGTTACATGCAGCCAAATAATAAATTGTTACATGCAGCCTTGCCACATTCATGCAGCATACCTCCTTCATAACTCCACAGACACAATTCTTCAGAATCAGTTAAGCTCACTTGCCTCCAAGGAGTATACACATGGATGCACTTTGTATCTTCTGTATTACTTGATAAATATCTTACAGATTGAAACATTGTCCATATACAAGCTGCTTATGCAACCATAATTTTTCTTCACAGTTAACAGCAGTATGCTATTTGGATCCAATAGACAGTCTCTGACATTTTAGTTTTTAAGCTTGGGACATTACCATAGTTGGTGTGTTTTCAAACTGTGTACAGTATAGTCAATAGCATGTAATTATTATTTTCAGACAGGTGAAGATACTTCTAGAAGTGAACGTCCAATGCGACCAACTATAGCATCTATGAATAAGATGACTCCTCGTGCTCTGAAAAGAAAGGCATCACTCTCTCAGGCAGTCTCCACAGGTAAAGAATACAAAAAGCTTAGTGTGTTTATGCTTTCTCCATGCCCAACCACCTCAACAACCCATCAACAACCTTCTCATTGCCTTTTGATTTCTATATTCCATATTTATTGCCTGATATTTACACCATGTATTGCTCTCAAATATAATATCTCTACTAGCTTTTGCCACCTCCTTTCTGCAGCATTCAAAAACCTATGCCTCATATCCTTATGGAAGTGTTAGTGCCACAGTACTCTGGTACATTTCCTTTTTTGCCTCCATAGATAAAACACATTTCCACAGATACTTGAACACACCACCCACCTTTTTTACTCTCATTTATTCTGTGGTTCACCTCATCTTTTATAGACTCACCTGTTCACTCTCAGATATCTAAATACATCCACTTCTTCCATACATACTCCCTCCAATTCGATATTCAGTCTGTCATTGCCTAGATATTTTTGTTTTCCTCATCACCTGGCTCTATTCTTTGTTCATTTTCACTTTCCTTGTTTTTACATCCTCTCCCAAATTCATTCGTGAACTTCGTAATTTACCTTTAGAATCCCCTAAAAGAACTGTCATTAGCAAAGTGCAACTAGGGTAACTTCGACTTTATATTATATCCATCATCATTAAATTCTACACCCCTTCCCAACACCCTGGTGTTGGGAAGTAATAAACTATAACATGCATGCATGTTAGAATTTATTATGTAATTATTATAATTTTATTTTCTATTTAAAAATTTAATTTGTGAATTTCTCTGGTCAGGTGATATTCGACAATTTCATGAAGATTCCAGCTCAGAGGATGCTTCTCCATCAGAACATAAAAATTCACGCAGTCGTAATCATGGTAGTGACAGGTTAGTATTCTCAGGGCTGACACTGTGTGCTTGATTGTGCATTTGTTATTACTGAGGAGTGCTGTATGACCTACACAGGTTTAGCAATTATTTTTAATTTAATGATAAATGTTATTGCCCTGTTTTCTGTCATATGATGCATCAGTATATTAAACAAAGCTAAATTTACAGATTTTTATGGGTAAACTTTTTGTGCACATTATCTTGCATTCTTCAATTACTTTCATATTCTTATTTTTTAAACTGATCTTTGGCATGAAAAGAAGCGGTATTTTATGAAATGCAGCTCACTGCATTCCTGAAAAGGAAAAAAATTGTTTTTTAGCTATGTGTAAATGTAAATATAGTAGGGCCCCGCTTTACGGTGTTTTACCTTATGGCGTTCCGCTAATACGGACATTTCAAATTATGACCAAAACTCTATATGGCTCCCCCTACCTGACTTTCTAATACGGTCAACGTGCGTCACCCAGTTTGCTCACATTCTCCGTAAGCACATCTCTCCATTATGTCTGGAAATTTTCCAAAATTTAAAGTGTTTGAGAGTTATTGCATATTTATATGTACTCTGATAGTTATACTTATGTGTACCTGTACCTAAATAAACTTATACACTGTGCTGGCATGCAGGTGCACATTAAAATCACTAGGAGTGTCCCTCTAGTCTTGATGCTATAGTAATAATAATAATACTAATACATAATAATAATAATCACACTTGGGCACCTTAACCCTTTCACTGTCAGTTCCGTAATATTACGGCTTGCGAGCCAGTGTTGGTCCCGTTATACTATGCCAAAATTCTAGCGGCTTCCAGTCTTGCAGGAGAAAGCTGGTAGGCCTACATATGAGAGAATGGTCAGTGTGTGCAGTATAAAAAAAATCCTGCAGCACGTAGTGCATAATGAGAAAAAAAAAACGACCTTGGTTTTGGTTTAAAACAGCGACTTTGCGGTGTATTTTCGTATGGTAATTATGGTTGTATTCTCATTTTCTTGGTCTCATTTGATAGAATGGATGATATACTATGGAAATAGATAAGATTTTGAATGGTTTATGGATTAAAAGTACCTTGAAAATTAAGCTCAAAGTAGCAAAAATGTTCGATTTTTGCTAATGCTCGTGAGTAAACAAATCACATCATACGTCCAATACACATCAACTAGTGGGTCTAATATGCTTTCACAAATGCACTGATATTATGTATATAATTTTTACAATAATGCAGTAGTCTGCATAACAGTAAATCTATTTTTTGTGTGAATAAAAATTCAAAATGGACAGCAAGCATAACGTAAGTGGGGCCTGGAGATGTGACTAGTGAACAGAGAAAATGTTATTTTAGTGCTAGGAATGTTTTCATTGTTAAGTCTGGACCCTATTTTGAACTTTACCTTCCTTGAATTGTGTATGAAATTGGCCAAATTACCAATTTATGATCACTTTATTGGATAGTTGAAATTGGTAAATGGGTGGTTTCTTGTCTTCAGTCCATAGAGCAAAAGGAGTTCTAGCGAAATAGCTATGAGTTTCGTCAACTGGAAGAGTAGAATTGGCTGAAAATATGGCTCAGAGTGGGCGAAATCGCTGATGCTTAAACATTGCTGAGACCGCTAACTTTGTGAGAGCGTAGTTCTGTAAGTTTTACCTCAAATTTCGTACTTTTGGTTTCATTACCATCAGAAAAAGATCCTCTGTCATTTCATAAGAAAACATATCTTTATTTTTTTTTTAATTCTTCGACACTGAGAGCAAGTTTGTGAGCAGGGGTCACGATATTGAAAGGATTAAATGTCTTATTTTATGTTAATACAGCCTCTCCTCACTTAACGACGTACTCGTTTACCGACAACTCAGAGTTACAACGGGCTCTCTGACAAGTTGTTATTGTATACTGTATGAGAACTTGGGTCATGAACAGGCAGTGCAGTATCTCAGCATCAAGCATCTTAATCTCCTTCATACAGCCATCAGTACACTAGCTTTTACAGTCTCCAAGACTACATATTTATACAAATTTCCTGTTGTTTTTCCTCTTGGAAGAGGAAAAAACAAGAGGAAAATGGAAGAAGTACAAAAGAGGTTCATTGTGAAGGAGTTAGTGATGCATCTCGGCATCAAGCAATCTCCAAGACTACATATTTCATCTATAAATTTGTACTTTATTGTGCACCCCATAGTAGAAGATAAAGTTAGAAGTGCAGCAGCACTTGGAAGAGGAAAAATAAGAGGAAGATGGAAGAAGTACAAAAGAAGTTTACAGTAAAGGGGTTAGCTGGTGTGTTCGTATGTGTGTTTACATTCTCGGTGTATTGTGGCAGCTTAAGAAATTATTAAAATATAGAGTGCTTTCAATGTCAGCTATCAAACCTATATGAAATACTTAAGATGTTTAACCCTTTCAGGGTCCGTCCCGTAGATCTATGGCTTTACGGTGAGTGTCCAAACCGTAGATCTACGCCATGAGCTCAGCTCACTCTGATAAACTGTGAGTGGTACATTTGGGCCTAGATATGAGAGAATACATCTATGTGGTATGTGTGCACCACATAAAACAGATCCTGCAGCACATTGTGTATAATGAGAGAAAAAAACTGAAATCATGATTTTTCGATTAAAACAGCAACTTTGCAGTGTTTTTTCGTATGTTTTTTATAGTTGTATTTGCGATTTCTTGGTCTCATTTGATAGAATGGAAGACATATTACAGAAATAGAGATGATTTTGATTGGTTTTAGCACTGGAAATGGCTTGAAACTGAGCTCAAAGTAGCGGAAATGTTAAATATTAGTTAATGGTTCACAGACTTCCATTTTGCATTCCTTAAGAACCCTTGAAAAAACCTCATCAGGACCCGGTGACTTATTTTGCTTCAGTCGGTCTATCTGCTTCACAACCATTTCACTAGTGACTGTGATGTTACATAATTTATCTTCTTCTGGCCCACGATAAAAATTAATTACCGGAATATTATTAGTGTCTTCCTGTGTAAAAACCGAGAGAAAATAATTATTTAAAATCGAGCACATTTCATTCTCTTTGTCAGTAAGATGCCCATAGTTATTTTTAAGGGGACCTATCTTATCTCTGACTTTTGTTCTGTATACCTGGAAAAAACTTTTTGGGTTAGTTTTAGAATCCCTAGCAACTTTAATTTCATAGTCCCTTTTAGCTTTTCTTATCCCCTTTTTAATGTCCCTCTTAATGTCAATATACTGATTCATAAGATGACCCTCGCCTCTTTTGATACGCCTATAAATTCCTTTCTTATGCCCTAGTAGATATTTCAGCCTATTATTCATCCATTTTGGGTCATTTCTAATTGATCTAATTTCTTTATAGGGGATAAACATTCTTTGAGCAGCATGTATAGTGTTCAGAAAACTGTCATATTGATAGCTCTCTTCGTTACCCCAGTCAACAGATGATAAGTGTTGTCTAAGCCCATCGTAATCTGCTAAGCGAAAATCTGGGACTGTTACTGAGTTATCCCTACTATCATACTTCCATTCAATGCTAAATGTAATTGATTTGTGGTCGCTAGCACCCAGTTCCTCTGAAACTTCTAAATTATTAACAAGGGATTCATTGTTTGCCAGAACTAAGTCAAGCAGGTTATTACCCCTTGTAGGTTCTGTCACAAACTGCTTCAAAAAACAATCCTGAATTACTTCTAAGAAGGCGTATGATTCTAAATTCCCAGTCAAGAAATTCCAATCAATATGACTAAAGTTAAAGTCTCCTAGAATTACTACATTATCGTGCCTTGTAGCCCTAACAATTTCCTCCCATAGTAGTCTCCCCTGGTCCCTATCTAAATTTAGGGGACGGTATATCACACCTAAAATTAATTTTTCATGCCCCTCTGAAAATTCTATCCAAACAGACTCTGTATGTGTTGCTTCAGACTTAATACCCGTTTTTATGCAACAGTTTAAGCGATCTCGGACATACAATGCCACCCCACCCCCCTTCCCGACACTTCTATCTACTTGGAACAATTTAAAACCCTGAATGTGACATTCTGCAGGCATGTCCCGACTTTTTGAATTAAACCACGTCTCAGTAATGGCAAATACATCAATGTTACCTGCACTAGCAACTAGTCTCAACTCGTCCATCTTATTCCTAGCACTGCGACTGTTTATGTAATAAATATTTAAAGACCCTCCTCTCTCTTTACCCTTCCTGCTCCTTTCTGTTATTCCACTAAACCTATTACTGTCCTTGTCAATTAGTGCCACTGGCTTTCCAATATCCACCTCATTTTGCTTATTATTAGTTCTCCTAGTACTAATATTACTACCCTGCGACTTCACAGTTTTCCCGCCAAAACCCATACCACTAACTATTCCTAGTTTAAAGACCTAACAGCTCCCTCCACTGCATTGGCCAGTGCTCCCACCCCACACCTAGATAAGTGAACCCCATCCCTGGCATACATGTCATTTCTGCCATAGAAGAGGTCCCAGTTGTCAGTGAATGTTACCGCATTTTCCTTACAGTATTTGTCCAGCCAGCAATTGACACCAATTGCTCTGGACAACCATTCATTTCCAACTCCTCTCCTTGGCAAAATGCCACATATGACAGGTTTCCCACCCTTCCTCCTAATTATCTCTATTGCTGACCTATACCTGCTAATCAGGTCCTCACTCCTATGTCTGCCAACATCGTTGCCTCCAGCACTGAGACAGATAATAGGATTGCTCCCATTACCTCTCATGATGTCATCCAGACGGCTAACAATATCCTTCATCCCAGCCCCAGGAAAACACTCTCTCTGCCTCCTACTCCTATCCTTCAAGCAGAATGCCCTATCCATATACCTAACTTGGCTATCCCCAACAACAACAATGTTTTTACCTTCCTTGGCGTCGTCCTTCGTGATGCTCCCAGTAGTCAACTCACATTCGTCAGGTAGCCTTACACCACTTGTGGAATTCGTCAAGACGTTCTCAATGGTCTTCGTTGGGGTTTCTAGGGATGTCTCACTCACG